GTACAAACTTTGCCAAAAAATTTCAACCACTTTTAGATTCAACATATGCCTAGGGAGGATAATGCCATGGTAGATGCGCTTGTCAAGTTCATATCTGCAAACATACTAATAGGCCCTACACTCACAAGTCACCAATTTGAGCCAAGTTGGCTCAATCCATATAAGCACAACATCAACAGTGCATCCTCTGATGCCAAATAGATGACACCCATTCGAGCCTATCTAGAAGAAGACACTCTCCTAGAAAATTCAGTGGAAGCCAATAAATTGAGATTAAGGGCATCCAGGTACATCATCTTGTGTAACACCCTTTATAAGAGAAGCTACTCACTACCTCTACTCCGTTGCCTCTCCCCGAAAATGTCCGATTATGATATGAGAGAAATCCATGAGAAAATATGTAGAAACCACTTCGGAGGATGCGCACTAGCTCACAAGGCAGTTAGGCAAGGCTGCTATTGGCCAAACCTGATAAAAGATGCCCAGGAATTTGTAAAAAGGTATGACAAATGCCAACATTTCGCGTCAATGCCAAGGCAACAGTCGAAAAATTTGGCTACCATCATGAACCCTTGGCCCTTCTCCAAATAGGGGATTGATAGCATAGGCCCTCTACCACAATTCAGGGCTAATAAAAATTTGTCGTAGTATTCATTTACTACTTTACAAAGTGGGCAAAAGTTTAGTTCTTGGCCAAAATAACATACCAGAAAGTGAAAGGCTTCATCTGGAAGAGCATAGTATGTCATTTTCGATTACCTCATGCAATAGTATGTGACAATGCTGAGCAGTTTGTCAACAAACTCCTTAATGGCTTGTATGCAGACCTATAGATAAAACAACCCCACTCCAACCCAGCCCATCCCCAGACGAATGGGTAGGCAGAGTTCACCATTAGAACAATCCTCACAACCTGAAGACTAAGCTGGAAAGCTCCAAAGGGCGGTGGTTGGACGAACTCCCAGGAGTACTATGGTTCTACTGGACAATTCCAAGGAGCCCTAAGGGTGAAACCCCTTTCTTCTTAGCCTATGGAATAGAGGTGGTTATACTAGTCGAGATTGGGGTACATTCCTTGAGGGTCCAACACCACAACCCAACCATTAATGAAGAAGGCCTCTACATCAACCTCGACTTGGTAGAGGATAAAAGGAAAATGACTATGCTAAAAAATGTGGAGTACAAGCACCGCATGATCAAGTACTACAATTCGAGGGTGAAGCATCACGCCTTCTTGCTTAGGGACCTAGTCCTCAAGAAAGTAATCCTGTTTACCAAGGACTCTCGAGAAGGAAAGGTAGACCCTAATTGGGANATAATCTTGCTTTACTACACTCCCATGCCTAAGTGGGTGTCTCCAACTGTCAAAGCTAGTACACTCACAGATGCAGTAGCTTGTTGGAAGCTATATATAGATGGATTTTCTACTAGCGAGGGCGGTGGAGCAGGGCTGGTACTTATCAATCCCCATGGCACCTCGTTTAAGTATGTCGTATCTCCCCATTTTGCGGCATGAAACAATCAAATAGAATACAAGACCCTCATCTAAGGCTTGAAACTCATCATTGAAATGGAGGCCTTCAGTCTCACAATTATAGAGATTTTCAATTGATAGTCAATCAAGTAAAGGGAGACTTTGGAGGAAAGGATGCAAGAGTACCTGTTAGTGGTACAAACTTTGCCAAAAAATTTCAACCACTTTTAGATTCAACATATGCCTAGGGAGGATAATGCCATGGTAGATGCGCTTGTCAAGTTCATATCTGCAAACATACTAATAGGCCCTACACTCACAAGTCACCAATTTGAGCCAAGTTGGCTCAATCCATATAAGCACAACATCAACAGTGCATCCTCTGATGCCAAATAGATGACACCCATTCGAGCCTATCTAGAAGAAGACACTCTCCTAGAAAATTCAGTGGAAGCCAATAAATTGAGATTAAGGGCATCCAGGTACATCATCTTGTGTAACACCCTTTATAAGAGAAGCTACTCACTACCTCTACTCCGTTGCCTCTCCCCGAAAATGTCCGATTATGATATGAGAGAAATCCATGAGAAAATATGTAGAAACCACTTCGAAGGATGCGCACTAGCTCACAAGGCAGTTAGGCAAGGCTGCTATTGGCCAAACCTGATAAAAGATGCCCAGGAATTTGTAAAAAGGTATTACAAATGCCAACATTTTGCGACAGTGCCAAGGCAACAGTCAAAAAAGTTGGCTACCATCATGAACCCTTGGCCCTTCTCCAAATAGGGGATTGATAGCATAGGCCCTCTACCACGATTCAGGGCTAATAAAAATTTGTGGTAGTATTCATTTACTACTTTACAAAGTGGGCAAAAGTTTAGTTCTTGGCCAAAATAACATACTAGAAAGTGAAAAGACTTCATCTGGAAGAGCATGGTATGTCATTTTCGATTACCTCATGCAATAGTATGTGACAATGCTGAGCAGTTTGTCAACAAACTCCTTAATGGCTTGTATGCAGACCTACAGATAAAACAACCCCACTCCAACCCAGCCCAACCCCACTTCATTAGAACAATCCTCACAACCTGAAGACTAAGCTGGAAAGCTCCAAAGGGCGGTGGTTGGACGAACTCCCAGGAGTACTATGGTTCTACTGGACAATTCCAAGGAGCCCTAAGGGTGAAACCCCTTTCTTCTTAGCCTATGGAATAGAGGTGGTTATACTAGTCGAGATTGGGGTACATTCCTTGAGGGTCCAACACCACAACCCAACCATTAATGAAGAAGGCCTCTACATCAACCTCGACTTGGTAGAGGATAAAAGGAAAATGACTATGCTAAAAAATGTGGAGTACAAGCACCGCATGATCAAGTACTACAATTCGAGGGTGAAGCATCGTGCCTTCTTGCCTGGGGACCTAGTCCTCAAGAAAGTAATCCTGTTTACCAAGGACTCTCGAGAAGGAAAGCTAGACCCTAATTGGGAAGGACCTTACATCGTGATAGAAGTTGTAAGACCAAACACCTATAAAATTCAGAACTCTAAATGGAAAGCCTTGGCCCATCCATAGAACGCCGAACACCTAAAGAGGTATTATCAATAGCGGGGTACAAGCTGACTACTCTCATTTTACTTGTTAATTGTTTGTTCAGTTAATTTGTTCATTTTTTTAATCTATTATTTTAGTTATGAAATAAAACTTTGCAAAGATTATTTTATCTGGAACGCTCTTTCTTTCATTCCATAGAAGTTTGTAAACAACTTACAAAAGTTAGAACATGACCTAACAATAATAAGATATACAAGTAAAAATAAAAGTCATCATACTCCTCATGGTTGCTCATTGTTCCCCGATCCATTCTCATCAAAACTCTTTTATCAGCATTTGTCTCTAGGGCCTCATATGGGACTACACTAGAGAAATCAATATCAGGGAAAGTTGCTACGAGCGTCCCCCTAAACTCCTCATAACCGTCAATAAAAATGTCTTCAACAGCCCTGTCTCCAACCTCCCTCCCCCTCTCTATCTTAATGGAATGAGCCTCTGCCTTGGTGGCTCTCTAATGAGCTAATTGTAGGCCTGCCTCGCCATGTCAGCCCTTTGAAGTTATCTGTAGCTCTACCTCAGCTCCTATGACCCTCTCACAAGCTGCTCATAGCTCTGTCAATGCTCTAGTGCAGGTAGTCTCCCTGTCAGCCTCCAGCTTGGTGGCCCTCTCGCAGGATGCCGAAAGCTCGGCCTCAATAGGTGTAACTTTCTCATGAGCCAACCTCAATTGCTCCTCAATAGCTTTTCAAGCTTGTCTCTCTTTTGCTAGAGCCTTTGACGCCTCACCAAGCTTGATGGTCCTCGAAAAAAGGCATGGGAAACCAGTGGCCACCTACAAAAATTTAAAAGGCAAAACATATGAAAAAAAGGAGAAATGCAAAAATCAAGAATAAACAAAAAGAAAGGATACCATAACAAATCCCTCCATCGTGGTATTGATAATGACCTCTAGACCTCGAGAGTTGACCTCTCTAATATTCGCAGCCATCACAAAGTTCCAAAGTCGCTCCTTGGCTAGATTCACATCTTGTAACATAGACACTGAGCTATTGCTCGAAGCATGATAGCTATGTGGAGCTTGGGTCCCTATAGTGGATTGCATCGGTGTCTCAGTCCCTAAAGCAGTGATAGGGCTAACCCTAACACTCAAAAGGGCCACATGCTGAGGAGTGGGGGCACCACTGGATCCCACCTCCCATGAAGCAATATGGCCATCAGAACACGACCAAGAAGCATTGGGGGAATTAGCCTTCGCCCTATTGGAAGGAAGGGAAGACATCACCCTAGATGCATAAAGAGCCTCCACTATCGCTCTATCAACAGTAGTACCCGTAGAACTTTCATAAGAAGTAGAATTTACAGGCGTCATCAAATTTATCGAAAGGATCAAATTCCTTTCCTCTTATGTGTATGGAAAGCTCTAGAGTGACCTGACGTAGACATAAAGGTCACAAAGTGCATGGTAGGATGATCCCTCATAGCTTGAAGCCTACTCTCCTACTCTGTCGATAATGGGGGTGAAGCTGCAAAGATGCCAAACATGTAATGAATACAAGAGGCATGGTAGTCAGGCATGAAAGCAAGGGTAAAACTCCTACCTAGCTTGGTCCTCGGAGCATTATCCCATCTCGAAGGCACTAAGTCACGATCCTCCTCGACAACTCACTCACCTCCTATGAAGAAAAACCTGGACTTCTAGCTACGACAATTAGAGGGCAATCCAATGATCAGCTTACCCGACCTCGGAGCAAAGCGGTACCATCCTTGATAAGGACTAGGATTATACAAAAAAACACATACGCCACCAAGAACACCAAACATCCTCGCCATAAACTAGCCGCCATAGTGAAAAGAACGCCAAAAGTATCCTTTAGCCATTTAGGGTCAACCTCCTGGGGGTAAGAGACAAGTGACCCAGAACCCAGAAGATAGGCCTAGGTATGAGAAACCTTAATCTCACATTCAGGATATCCTTATAGAAGAATCTCTCCAAAAGAATCATAACATGCCAGTTCATCTTTCTCGGCCCAGTGGCATAGAACAATAGGAGGAATATGAAATGAAGATAAAATGGTAGCAATGTCACTGTCAGAATCTATGGAATTGAAAATCAAAGTTACATTTGAACTATCACAGTCAACAGCTCCTATGGCTCCCTGAGGAGCTTGTGCAGAGTTCGCCATCATATCCTTGTCAAATTGAGTTGTTGTAACAATTAGAGTCAATGTCAAGAAAATTCCAAAACAACTAAGGAATAAAAGGGCGAGCAAAATCGTTTTACCTAGCCAAAAGGCATCATATTCTCCATCTCTGACAAAACCAAGGACACTGCCCTTGCCATTAAATATGCTTACTTGTTGCTTTCTCACGACTCTAAGTAGCCTCCCGCTAGAGCCCAACTTCTGGAAGCCGTTGTCTGCCTCAGCGCCAACAGCAGCAACGCCTACACTAGCGCCTACACTAGTGTGAGTGCCAGAGTGCGAGCCAGCGCTAGTGCCCTTCTCCCTAGCGTTGCCCAGACCACCTCTGCCTCCAATCATGACAGGAACATCATTCAGGTCACTTCTAGCATCACCCAAACCGCCTCCGCCTCCAGTCCTAACATTGCCCAGCTAGCCCATCGTGCTGGTGTCGCCTCCTACTCCAAGGGCATTGCCCACATGTTTGGCACCACCACCCCTTGCACCCTCTCATCCATCGACGCTACCTTGCCTAGCCATAGGGACGCCCATGGCATCTTCCATGGATTCCCTTGGTAGAACAATTCTCAAAATCCCCTTCGTCGTTCTCCCACTTGCTTCCATGTTACTTTTCTTGGACTTCTCTTGATTTTTTATGGAATGGAGGAGGTTAAGGAAACTTTCAGCCTCTAGTCTCCACGGAACGATTTTTGAGCGAAGAAGATGGAATGGAGGTGACTAAGGGTATATATACATAATAACCTTTGAAGCCCTAAGGATGATTCCCTAAATGAAAAAGGGGGCTTTTGTGGTGAAGATATAAAGTAACTCTAGACATAATGGAAGACCCAATAGGTGAGATTGGGTGCTAGTGTAGTAACTTTCCAACCATGGTGTTACCAAATCAGGAAAGAATTTTTGAAAATAGAATGGGGTGGAAAGCTAAGGAAGCCACCATGAGGAAGAAGGTGCCTGATCCACCGAAATGAAGAGCTCACTCATGCCCTCAACCTTCTGTCACCACAAGAGCTTGGGGCATGGGGGCAAATGACGAGACCAAATCTAATTGGGCCTAAGCTCTGGTAATGGGGTGAGTCCAAATCATCGAAAAGGTCCAAGCTCAGCTCATGGTCTCAGCCCAGTCTAGGATTCAAGAGGCCTAGAGAGGTCAACGCACGTGAGAGAACAATCATCAAGATAACTATTACTCCAATATAGTGCGTATCCCCAATGAAGCTATCCTCCCCAGTAGTTCAGTAAGTTGACCTTCACGTCACCACCTCAACTAGGACTTTGTACCTATAAATTTAAACTCCTTAAGCAGAGGAGGGATCTCTCACACGCCACACCTTGAGCTTACTCTTACCCTAGCTCTCTCTCTCTCACCTACAACCTTATTCTTTTATTAATAAATTTATCTAATCACCATTGTCGTCTTTAGTGGTTAGGTTACCCAGACTTAACCATCCAATCTTTGTCCCTTATTTAATTATTTTACTTTATACACTTGACTGATTTGATTGTGTATAATCAGATTTGTGCATCATCAAGTATAATATCATATTAAGATACTTGTTAATATATTTGTACATGTAACTCTTTTAGTCTACGGGTTTTGACATTTTATTTTTTGATACTAGTTTTTATGTGCTTACAAAATGATCATCTATTTTACTACAAAATAATCTTAATTTAGTTACAAAAAAGACTTCTAATGTATTTTATAGAATAATCATCTATTTTACGGTAACAAAATGATTTCATACATTTTTAGTCACAAAAAAGACTTCTAATGTATTCAAAATTCACCTAAACTAATCCATAATATCTAAAACAAATTAAATTTTTTTTTTATGGTGGGTAGAGACACTTTGGCCCCGCATAGCTCCACCCATTTTTCTAGTGTTAATTTTTTTTTGTGGATCCANTAGTCACAAAAAAGACTTCTAATGTATTCAAAATTCACCTAAACTAATCCATAATATCTAAAACAAATTAAATTAAAAATTGATGGTGGGTAAAGACACTTTGGCCCCACATAGCTCCACCCATTTTTCTAGTGTTAATTTTTTTTTTTGTGGATCCATTTTATTAGGAATAATATATAAGAGCATAGGTGCATGTACAAAATATCAAATCTAAAACGAGTTTTAAAGAAACTATTCGACTTTTCACAAAAATTTTAATGCCCTAAAATCCATCTTAAAAGGCATTAACTATCTACACACCATCCAATAATGAGAACATCTAAAAAAAATTCATTTGAATAATAAACAATCTATTAACTCAGTAAATAATCACACTAATATCAATAAAACCTTGTTAACTTCTCAAACTTATGAAAAAAACTAAATAGCATCTCGGAGTAGAATAAATAAAAACTATTTAAAACATTATTTTACATCTAACTCTCAAATTTAAACTAAGAAGAAACATCTCTAGGCCTCCAAGTCAAGATCTACATATTGATCCCCCTCAGTCTCATCTAATCTGAGATTGTCAAAAAAAAATCAACATCTAAAAAATATATATAGCATGGGATGAGGAAAAAACCCAGTAGAAACACCTTGTTAAACCCAAATAAAGTCTCAAAACTATTAAAACTGGTAAGTCACCATTTACAAAATAAATACATTATATTTGAAGTAAAACAATGACATTTATCATGATCTCAAGTTTATGGAATAAAATAGTAATTTCATTATAAGATATAAAGCTTTGCAAACATCATATCTTAAAAACATAATATCTCTTTGTACGTACGTAGAATACTGCGAATCTGCACACCGAACCTATCTCATTCATCGACCACATACCACAAACCAACTCAATCAATCCCCACAGGGTCATACTAGTTGCCACACTTTGAAAAGGGTGTCTGCCGAATCATTCTTCATTGACGAATCCATAGTATACTAACCCTCAGCCTCAAACCTATGTGAACAATAGGCATTGGCCCTCTATGAGCGTTTGGCAACCACCAAACCCATACGAGCGTTAGGCAACCATCAAGCAACCAAACCCTCTACGAGCGTTAGGTATCCATCAAACCCCTCATGGTAAAAAAAACATATCTCTAACACTCTATGATATGCATTCAAGTGTAAAACATGCTCATCCAAATACTCATAGAAGAGACAATAAAATACACTACTTTTTCTACAAAAATCCACATATATCATAGTTCAAAATTATACATTTCACAAATCAAAGCAAAAGAAGCAAGAGATCGTACAAAAATCCTTCACACTCACAATCTTCAAAATTCTAGGGTTTAATCAAGAACATATAATTTTCAAATGTAAAACATGTATTTTAATGTAAAATCATGTGTTTCTTCAAGAATCAAAACATGTATTCAAAAGATATATAAAAATGTTGAAGCTTTAAGGATTACTGAAATTTGTGAATCAATAACTAGTGTTTTGTATAAAAAAATAAATAATCTTTATCGTAAAACATGTATTTTCTTTAATAAATGAATCTTAGGATTGAATTAACATTAAAACACATAGATTTGCTATTTACATCATAATAAATATTAAAACTATATAATTATATAACCTTAACATCAATGAATGAATTCGAGAAAGAATCCCTACTTTTAATCTCCATAGATGTTGATTCTAACATGTTCCATGGCGTTTCCTATGCGTTAATCCTCCAAATTTCACCCTTTTCCCTTTCTTCACACTTTCTTTAGCCTCTTAGGGTTCAAAACTGTTGAAAACTGACCTAAGAAATGTCCTTACAATATTTATAGGCTTAGAATTTCAATAGTCGATGCGAGCCTAATCGCTATAAAAATTGTACTTACGTTTGAATGGAGATTGACAATTGAATGTACTTCGTTTGAACGTGACTTGCATTTGAATGCGCTCTACTCCCAGTATCTTGAGTTTTATCAAACTTTCTATCTGACACCAAACTAATGTAGCTAATCCACGTTTGAACGTGACTTGCATTGAAACGTATCTTGCTCTCAGTATTTCAATTTGCGTCAGATACCAAAGTACTATAGCTACACTTTGTTTGAACATGATTCTAGTTCCTGTCTAAACTTCTAATGCAGTTTTAACCTATGTAGAAGTCGATTTGTAAAATCTCTGTGAAATACACTTTTATAGCTCTTGGAATCTAGTTTCTACGGTTCAAAAATTAGGTCAACCTGATGTAGAATAAAAAGTTATGGATACATCCCAAAGATAGTATTTAGTTATTCTCCTCTTTTCATTTCTCGAAGATACTTCCCAAGATTCAATAAAAACTCTAATATACCATATATCCCTATTCCTAAGTTATTTAGTATTCATACAACATGTGGTACATAATATAAATTATGATAAATACATTGAGGTTTATAAAAATAACTCTTTGGGGTCTTCTCGATTAGTTGAAAGGCTCGAAAGAGAATAAAAATACACCCCTTAAATAGATATAAGGGGATTTTTTTCCAATTGAAAGAAAAAAAATCGTTTTGAACTGTACTAAAGTTGGATAAATCTTTTTAGAAGTGTTTGGAACATATCTTTGTATTGGACATAATATTTGCCTTCTCCTTAAAATACAAAAAAGTGACATATTTTGCCTTGTTATTTAGATTTGGAATTCTAAGTCAGTATATACAATGAGTAATGATGTTCAATATCAAAATTTTTATTAGAGTTTAGTTTATCCAATGAATATGAGTAGTTAAATCAGTGAATTATGTTCAAAATTAAAATAATTAATGAGTCATACTAATCCAATAATCTTCATTAATTTGGTAACAAAAATTAGTATAAATGCAATACTATTTGTACTAATTTTACTGACTAAATTTTCTAATCAAATACGCAACAATTGTTCAATTTATAGTGAATCTCAATATTGGTTCCGATTTACTACAAGGCTAATGACGCCTCAGTTTGTTAGTAAATTTGGTTGAAGTAGACTTATTGACACTATAATGGGCCTTTTTTTCAGAAGGAGAGGGAGGCCATGTATAAAATAAAAGGGCTTATTTCTGCAAGACATCAATTTTGAAGTTTTTATATACAAGCAAGAAAAATAAATACATTTTATTCAGTTCTTGCAATCCGAACTTGTAGCTTAGTGAGTAGGCCTGTTAGAATCCAATATGAAATGATTAACCGACACGAATTGACCCAAATTAAGCGAATTTGAGTGAGATCTTAACGGGTTCGAATGGTAAACTGGTTGACACGCTAAACACGTTTAATAAACGGGTCGTGTTTATGAGAAACTTGTCAACCCGTTTATCACCCTTTTACTTGTTTAAAACAAATAATATAATAATAAATTAATAATTATTTTAAAAAATTTAGTCAGAATTAAAATATTATATACAAATGTATGGTAAATGAGTAAAGAAAAATCTTACTTAACAAAAAAAAGCAATGAATATTATCCACCACTTGAAAACAGTGAATATCTTGTGGGTTTGTATAGTGAACACAGTGAAAGCTTTTGGCTTGAATCCCACATCGACAAAATTAAATGAAGGAGACCGCACATCCCTATAAAAGGCTGCAACCCTTGCCTTTAGTCATTCAACCTTCTCATTTGCTTTTGCAAGTGGCCGCCAACTGAAAAATTTTTAATTAAGAAAGTATAGTTGTTGT